ATATTAGTTTTTGGTAAATATTTATGCTTCTTAATCACCTAATTAACATAATTAATTAATACTGAATATCTCAAGTATTGATCATCACATTTGAATAAAACTTGGTACATAAATGGTCTAGGACAATAGACAGCCTGATTAATTTTGGGTTAAAATCTGTTCATATTAATTCTCTAATTAGCTTAATAATTAATATTTTTTTGGTTCTAATCACATTTCAATGAAACTTGGTACATTGTGCGGACCTTATTAGTTTTACACTTAAATTACCTTACCTTATTTGCATAATTAATTTTCTGCACTTCCATCAACATCTCAAGTTCAAGTAATTTTGAATTAATTTTTAATGTGTCTCCAATACTCTCAGCACATGGGAGTTCTTTCTAAGCTTTCTTTGATTACTTTCATGGTTGTGCTGATAAACCTAATTTCAGTACCTTCAGCCTGGCCAAAAATAATTTTTTTACAAACACACCTGGCGCTACCATGTGTGCAGCTATATGCTAAACTGCGTTCCAGTTAGCATTAGAACACTGAAACAAGCTGCGCACTGCTTGAGCATAGGTTTATATCAACACCATTCTTCTTCATCAAATGCACTGTCAAAACACAAAATAAAAAAAGCAGTGCCACCACATGACGAAGTCTGTGACTATCAGACTCTTTATTTAGATCAAATGTATCGAAGCGTGTAGCTGGCAAAACTTGCGACAAGCGCGACTAAAAATTATGCAAAATTGCTACAAAAGCCTAGTTTCTAGTGATGCAAACCTGGCAACCAAATCATTTCATGAATATTACCTCGTATCTTGGTCTCTTGACAAGTTACTGCCGTAAGTCAGATAAATTCTTTATGAAGGTGGCAGCAGGGAGACACAGGAATATGTCTACCTGTAATGCATGAATCAGATTGGCTGTCATGGTATTATCATACATCTGTCACCCTAACAATGTCAGTTACAGCATGCTGTAATATTTCGGTATTGCACTGGATATTTGCATTCTACCATATTAGAAAATGCAAATTCCAAATATGGAACAATAGCGCATCTAAGCGTCCTCTAATAATAAATACAAACATGGCTGCACCAGGGTTTACCGGGCACTACACAAAGAAGTTTGATAAATCTGTTCAAAACTTTTTGGATTTCGGCCTTCCTATGATGTATTCTTGGGAGAAAAAGATGTATAATAATAAGGATATTACGAGGATACCACAAAGTATGCACTCAGTACACTGCGCATCGGCCAATACTCCCGCTGTACTGTCTTCGAGCATACTTTGAGGTACCCTTGTAATAACTTCATATTATCCTCACTACAATAAATTCTGTCATGTATTGCTGTTAAAATTTTCTGCTAAACACAAGTAACCTAGAAAATATGTCTGTTTGAAGTTTGCTCAGACACAAAATATTAACAAAAAAGTTCTTATAAATTCCAGAGAGAACTTAATGGCTATAGAAATAGCAGAATTTCAATGGAAAATGCTTTACATCTTAATATTGAATTTGTAATAGTCTGAGAAACGTGTGTGTGATTTGGTGCTATCATTGATGCGGATGCAGATATCTAGCAAATACCGAAGCTGATACATTTATTATAATACACACATTACTGAACATGTCAAAGGGTTCAAACTAAATACAACTGTACATGCATTAATATTGTTTAAATAAAACATCAACATGGGCATACATATAGAAACCATTTTAGCTACCGTAAAATTCCTAATTGAGGCTGCAGCGTGAAGTCTTGGTCTGGCTTAATTAGAGCATTCACTTCGGTAACAGTGGGAAATTTTTTCAGAAAACAAAGGCCAGAAAGGATAATGATATGCTAATGATTCTAAGCGCACTTTCGAATTTTTACACACAAACAAACTTGTACACAAACGAAATTTCACACTGTATAACATAGTGCACAATAAATAATATCTACAAATAGATTTGTATGCATTTGCAGATTACGGTACCGTATACTATAATCTCTTGAATAGACATCACTCTAATTGTAGTGCAATCGTTTGATTTTGATTAGAAAACAGCATGATTTTTTTTTTAAACTAGTTGTTTTCGAAAAATAAGTTGAGCATTGAAAACAAATTTAACACTTTTGACGATGATAACAGCTCATTGTAAAATCGCAGTTTACCCATTCATGCTACCCGCAATAAACGCTGTACTCACGAAAGAGCGTCAATAACTATGGAAAACCTAAAATTAGACTCTATTCTAGGCATCAGGAAAAATCGAAGTGTTCGAAAAATTCTGAAATATGTGGTGGCTGTTTGGGTTGTGAAAGTTTGGTGCGGCTTTTTCCTGCAAGCTTTTTCCTGGGATCAAAACTTGTCAATTTTAACATGAAACAATGTCTCAGGTTTAATAGGGGTGCGGCTTCTATTAAAGCTGCGGCCTCAAATATGATTTTCTCGATATGTGTGGTATAAAAACAACCATCATATAAGCCAAGTTGGTACTGAACAGTTTTAATGATTAGTAACATAATGTGTGTCACATTTATGCCTATTTCTTTTGCAGGTCAATTAAAAAAGAACAGTTTGTAAAAATGAAGAATGATAATTTAGATTTAGAACCGTAAGTCATTTAAATTTTGCTTTATTTAATGAAAAACATGTGCATGGTTGGTTAATAAAAATGATTTCATATATTGTTATGCTGCTTTGATATTTATATTATATTCTTTTTAACAGTTTTTTAGATTGTCTAGAATGTGGGCGTAAACTACATCAAATATGCGTGTTACATAATGAGACGATATGGCCTGAAGGGTGAGTATCGCTGTCATCTCTTTTGTTACATTTTACACAGCTGTCATCAGCAGTTGCTGTTGTGTGCTGTATTCCATGATTGATACATACTTTGCCAACTTAATAATTTACTTGCAAGCCTTGTGACTATTAAATTATTTCTTATGAATATTTTTTCTCTAGATTTACTTGTGACGGTTGTTTGAAAGCTAGAGGCATGAAACGGAAAGAAAATAAATTTTGTTCTAAAAGTAAGTATGGTTTGATCAGGTTTTGCCACAATTGTATCTGTATACTTATCTCATCCTGACTTGTATTTGGTCTGTTAAAAATGTGCATGAACCAAAAACTGCTTTTATTGTCTTCTGAATCATTAAATATTGTAATTGTATTGTCTAACTTAGCTCCCATGTTTGACTAAGTGCCCATCCCCCCTCTTTTTGCTGGGAGAGGATTGACCAGCTTTGTTTTTAGTCCAAGAAAATTGTTCAGCTTGGAATGTGTCTGAACCCCTCATTAGTATGCAAGAATGTAGGAATATACCAAGAAAATTGTTTTTCTGGAGTAAATTGTAGTGTATTTTACTTATGAAAGGTCAAAAAGTGCATGTGGATGTTAACGGAATGATGTAGTTTGATCACAGTTGCGCAATAGATGGACTATTTTGGGCGTAGCTATAAAATGTGTCACCGAAGTACTCACACATGTGCATGATTCCAATAATTTGTGCTGTGAAGAAACTCCATTAGAAAATAAGTATTGTGTAATTTGTAGTGAGAATGTTTTCAAATAGATTTTTGTTTATGAATCTTGTTTCTTTTCAAAGTGTATTTATATAATGAAAAATGTTTATGAGAATGTTTGTTATATCTTTTCGATGGATTGAATTTACAAATGATGAGTTATTGTGTCATCACTCGAATTATGTGTTACGAATTTCTGATAGTTTAGGTTTTGTGTTCTTGCGAACGGAAAGCCATTTATACTGGTGTACAGTAGACATCGATAAAAATGAACGTATTTCGAAAATTGTGAAATCATGGTACTGTTTTGGCATTATACAACTTACATTTCCCTTTTGATGGATTTTGTGTGACTGGCCGTGTTATCGAACTGTAGTATTAGTATTATGTAAATCTGCCCGGGAAAATCTGCAAGCAAAGTTTTAAATTGCCATTTTCACGCTGCGTCATAACGTCGTCATCTAAGTATGCACAATTGTTCGTCTCGTGTTCCCCAACGCATTTAAAAATCTCTTGAATTTGGGGGACTTTGTGTGACTGACCGTGGTGTTTGTAAATTTTAGTCAAACTGTAGTAGTGTGTAAATCTGCCACAATGTGCCTCAACGAGGACTGAAAAGTGATTTCCATTTATTTAGTCTGTTATAAATCAACTATTAGCTTCCTTTAAACTTCCTATTGCCATCAGGATTACGTCTACTACACTCGGCGGTGTAGTGCGTATGGATCTTCTTGTATGAAACGCTTCCGAACCCGGAAATTGTCGGCAAATCGGGATGGTCTCGTCACGTAATTTCTTACCTTGTTCTTGACCGTAGTATGCTTGGCTATGAACTTCCACATACCCACGCTTATGGGAATAGTGCATCGCGGGTAGTACTGTATTGATCGAGGTGAAACAAACATGGCTGCTGTAATGCCTGTTCGACTACATCACTCGTGTTTTTCTTCCTGTCTTAGCAAACGTGGTCCTTCGGCCCAGGTCATCATACGCCTACGGCCCTCAATGGATGGCCGGACCAACTAATTTTTGCTTCCTACGGCCTTGCATAGTAACATACGCTAAGTACAATTAAACGTCCTGAGTTGAACAGTAGTCATTTCTAAGGTTCAAAATAAATTATTTAATTTAGTTTAATTCCTTCAGTTAAAAATTGAGTTTCTAAAATAAATAAATAATAACACTACCCTCATGTATCCTTCAAGTTTTCAAGTCTTTTCTGCCTGTTCGCCATTCCATTGCTACAAAACACACCTTTAAATACTCTTATTTTCCCAGCATCTTGTTGAACATGCCTGCATTTGTCATTCCCTCCAAAAATCACCAAATTTTACTCTAGCCTAAAACCAGGTCTTTGATCATTGTTTGACTTTTTCGAATACTAAAGAAACCAAGAAAGGCAATAAAGATAAATAGACGGACGCTACTAAATGAAAAAGTGTGAGAATAAATTATAAAGGGGCAAATTGTGTTTGATTGCTTTAATTTTGTAAGAGAGGCATTTTTGTGAATTTTGTAGTGATGAACATTTTTCTAGGGTTCTACACCATGGGGTTTCAGCGATTTCTGTGAAATTTTGTTTTACTGATTTCATTAAATTGTGAATCCTTGCTGTAAAAATTAAGTTGTTTATAGAATATATTTGCAAGTATTTTTCATGTTTTCAATCTCTTCATGGCAAAATGAAGTTCTTTGACAGCTTTCTTTGATTTAAATAATTTGTCCAAAATGTATTAATAATTATTTTCTTTTCACAGGATTGGCAACCTCATTGTTAGGTACACATATAGAAAACAGAGTTAATAGGTTTCTTCGAGAACGACAGGCTGGTGCTGGGGAAGTGACAATTCGGGTAGTTTCCAGTACAGACAAGTCTGTGGAAGTTAAACCTGGCATGAAAGCTAGGTAATTATACTTCACCTCACCTTCAGTCATTGCCAAATTTGTATTTTGCTTAAGGTAGAAGCCTACTCATGAAGTAAAATGCCCAGAATTTATTCATTTTTGCAATAAACTGTACTCTAAGGCAATAAAAGGATATTGACCGAAAAAAAATATGAGGGTCACCAGCCTTTTTTTCGAGAAAATGATGGTTGTATTTGAATGGAAAGTCACCATTTTGACTTACCATAGGTTTCTATGGCAGAGATATTATGCAATATCTCAAAATCTAGCCTGGTAACATAGGTTGAAAAAAATCGTATATTGTTAATGCTGGAGTACTTTTTGTTGTTCTGAACTATTTAAAAAATCTGGGTTTTAAAAAGTGTGAAAAAATGCAATTTTCTAAATTGTTCTAAAAATAGCATTTTTTTAAAAATATTAGGACACATTTCTCAAAAAGCTTAACTGTAACACACAAAATATTGCTATTTCATTGTACCATGGGATTTTAGCTTCATAATTGTACATAATAAACTAATGAACAATGGCATCCGATTTATGACCAATTTTGTCAAAAATTATGACTAGGCTTCTACCTTAAATGTTTGTTGGCACACAAATTTGTTGTGGGTTTCAACACTTTGTCAACAGAGGGCGCTATGCAATGGCAAAATATGTGAAAAAATATTGACCATATTTTCTGGGGGTGTGCATTTTAGGCTAGTGGTCTCAAACCAAATATTTAATAACCTGTTAATGTTTAAACATACTTTGCTGTGCAGTATATGTGTGATAAGTTCGCTCAGTGATATGGTTCAAATCTAACAAATCTAAACTAACAATACTGATCAGCATTAAACAGTATTAAGCGATGTTCAAGCCCCAACAAATATTAGCAGATTGAACAAAAATAAAAGTTTTAGTTGTATTTACAATGATTTTCATGAGAATTAGTGTATAATAAGCAAACTGATGACCTCAATGCCTACCAGAGGCCAGTGACAAGCAATTATTCAAGTTGTGTAGGAGAATAGTGAATTTTTGGCAGTAAAATATTGATATTGACGTCCAAGATTGTAAATTATAATATTCATTTGTTTGGATTCCAAAACATTGTAACTGAGTTGGGTATACAGTTTGTGACATTCTTGCGAATATTATTTGCAAATGGTATTTAATTTAGTATACAGATTTATGCAAATTAGGCCAGCCAACAACTGTTCAGGAATGTTAAGAAACACTACAAAGAAATTAATATATGTTTTCATGTTCATCGAGTTTGAATTACAGCTTTGTATTCAAGCCAAGATAAGCTGGGACCAGTTCGGTAAGTGCCAATCACTGCAATTATTGTTTACAGGAGTGTGTTTATTTGACAATGTTTTTAACTTCATACCACAGGTTTGTTGATAGTGGTGAACTCCCTGCAAGCTTTAATTATCGTGCTAAGGCTCTATTTGCTTTTGAAGAAATTGATGGTGTTGATGTGTGCTTCTTTGGCATGCATGTACAGGAATACGGATCAGACTGCCCACAGCCAAATTCCAGGTATTTTATAATTCATTGCATTGCATCCTATCTGCCCTTAATGTTGATATTTCGTATTGTAAAATCATGCAACATTTGCAGGGTTTGTAACATAAACATAAATTCATGTCAAAGTTGTATTCACACTTTGTGTGATCTACAGTAAAACTTTTCACTGACCCATGTAGGCATAGAGTGTCACTACTCATGAGAAAACTTATCCTAGAAGTTATGCAATCATCGCCTTGAATTATTGCAACACTAAAAATGTTTTTTTTTTTTATTTGGTGATTATAAACAACATCCTTGTTTGTGTCAAGTGCAGGATAGCTTTAGTGCTCCAATGTTGCCATACCAGCTAATTATATCTTTTTTCATGGTGATCACAATAATCAGTGAGAGGTGTTCTGCATATAATACAAAGTGGGATGTAACTTTGATACAAACTCACATCAAACTTTATGAACATTTTAGTATTGTAGTGAGACACGCAGCTGGTGCACCACCATTTTTGACTCCCATGTGCGAAGCACAAAATGGGAGTCTTTGCAGTTAGTGTGTCTGTATGTGTGCGTGTGTGTATGTGTGTCCGACTGTTCCACTGCTATCTCAAACATCGGTTTTTGATGAAACTTGGTGCATAGATGCTCTGGGCCAATGGGCAGATTTGATTAGGTTTTGGTAAAAATCCATGCTCGTTAATTACCTAATTTGCATGATAATTAGCTAATTTTT